TGATGGAGAAAAAGTGTTTGGATGAAGGTTTAGCTCAAATATTAGTAAGCTTCAATGCAAAGCTTACTAACTTTTTGAAAATGGAGCTTTGAGTGAATTTGGTAGATGGAGAGAATTGAGAGATATTTTAGCAATGTGGATTTGGCTATCAAAAGCTTGAAATTTGAATGAAATGAGAGCTCTATTTATAGAGTTTTAGGATTGGGATTAGTGGTAATTTGGTAATTGATTCTTGGAGCCAAACACTCGTGTCTTATAAAAGCAACTCAACCTCATTCAAACTTTTTGTTCCCTTGTGCACTCTTCTCTTTAAAATCAACCAACAAACAATCTTTTCTTTTCAAGAAGAACTACGGAGTTCTGACTTTCCCATTGCACGAGGGAGTACGTAGGCACAAGTTATCTTGGCGAACTCAAAATAATCAAAAAACAAACCCTTTATTTTCTCTTCTTTCTTTAATAAGATTGTAAGTATCACACTAAACACTTAAATACACACGAGCTAAATTGTTCCCATCGAGTACGATAGATGTGAGGGGTGTTAATACCTTCCCCTTACATAACCGACTTTCATACCCTTTTCTTGGTTGCGATGACCATTTGTTTAGCGGATTTTACTCGATGGTTTCTCGTTCCTTTTGGAACAAATAAATATCGATGGCAACTTTATTGTATTGAAATTTTTAGCCAGCTTATGAAAGATACACATTGATAGAGTTGAACCGTTTAGGTTATAACCTTACCCTGAGGACCAAGAGCCTGAGGTAGACACACATGAGGCATAATTTCTTAAGATGCAGGCGATTTAGTCAAAGGTATATCCAAGAGGTTCGTATAACACATCAATATTGTGTTATTATGGGAAACACGTGATCAGAGATATTTGGTAGGGAAAGGTATCTTACATCTCAAATGTATTGTATTATGTCTACTTCTTGCTTTATGTATTCTTCTAATTATTCTCATTATTTTTCTGGCACGTGATAGGTCATTGGGATGATAATGACACTTAATGCCATGTCATGACTTTTGTATTTCATCATCCACTAACAACTCATTCGTCATACTACTATTACCAAAGATAAATGAGTGGTGTTGTTGGTCGAGCTACTTCGCACAAACCCGGAGAAAGCCCTTTATGAAGTTGAAAAGATCATAATAGGTCATGCACGATTAAACTTCTTCAAAGATGAGTTTATCAAACACATGTTATTTGTGAGTGTTATAGAGGATGATGTCATTGATGTAGATGCTCACGTGCACATTCAATTTTCAATTAAGGCGTATCTACTATTTCTGGTGGACTCAACCATTTTAATTAATATAGCACCATCTACACCCACGTTGTTTATCTTTGGTTTTCTAGTGATTTAGAGATGGTGGATGACTACATATGGCGAAAATACATTAAATTTTTGTATAATAAGATGAATGTTGCGACAAAAATCAAGACATGGCAGCTAGCAGGTAGGGGTGAGAATAGGCTAGACAGGTCTACAGGGACCTATGGCCTAGCCTATTTGAGGTCAGACCAGACCAGGCTTATTTACTAAAAAGGTCAGGCTTGGGTTTTTTTAAAAGCCTATTTAATTAAATAGGCCAGACTTAGGCTATTAAAAAAGTCTATGAGGCCTTATAGGCCGACCTATTTTTTTGTATATATTAAAAATAGTCTAAATAGGTTGAAATATATATATATATATATATATATATATATATATATATATATATATATATATATATATATATATATATATATATATATATTAGAAAAAAATGCTAAATATGTCGACCTATATATGCATATATAGGTCGACATATAAGGCTTCTTAACTAATATGGATTTATTGAAAACCTTAATGAGAAACAGACTTTTAAATAGGCTTTCAGGTCAGGCCAGACTTTTAAAAAGGCCAGGTTAGGCTAAAAAAATAAGCATATAGTAAGCCATAGGCCAGACTCAGGCCTTGTAAGTTTATCTTAGGCCAGGCTCAAGCCTTATAAAGCCTAGCCTAGTCTAACCTATTTCCACCCCTACTAGCAGGATACATGACATTGATTAAAGTAACATTTTAATGTAATTTGAATTTTTTTGCTTCTACTGGAAAGATGTCAGACACAATGTGTGGAAGAATGTTTATGACAAGATTAAAATAGTAACAAATAAAATATGAGTAAAGTAAAAGGACACAAGGAATTGATAACGCGATTTGGTGTAAATTCACCTACGTCTGGAGGGTATTAACCCAAGAAAGGAAATCCACTCTTAATTGTAAAAGTAGAAATTTGTCTTAGTTGAACCCTTCTAGTTCAAAGTCTTTTTTCTTAATACTACCCGTGAATGTTTTTTAGGACTCCCCATGAATATTATTGAGAATCAAGTGTGAGGAAGAAGTCCCACATTGATTATAAAAAGGGAAGATTGAGCACTTATAAGTGAGAGAACCCACTCATCTATCACCTTAAGGTTTTAGATGGACAAGTGGTGTGTCTCTCATAAAGGTGTGTCCCAAGTAAAATGCTCTCTCCTCGGAATTGCCCCTACAGTGATATCATGAGCCTTTGGTTTCGAGATAGGGACCGGCTTACTTGTATCAAGCGGTGGTACAAGTGTATGTGGAAGAGAGTCATTCCACACGAGGGGGAGCATTGTGACTCACACTTGAGGGGGAGTGTTGAGAATCAAGTGTGAGGAATAAGTCCCACATTGATTATAAAAATGGAAGATTGAGCACTTATAAGTGAGAGAACCCACTCATCTATCACCTTAAGGTTTTAGATGAGTGGGTTCTCTCACTTATAAGTGCTCAATCTTCCCTTTTTATAATCAATGTGGGACTTCTTCCTCACACTTGATTCTCAACACTCCCTCTCAAGTGTGAGTCACAATGCTCCCCCTCATGTGGAATGACTCTCTTCTCGGAATTTCCCCTACAAATATGAGACCCCTCTCACTTTCTCTCAAGCATTTTCCCAAGTGTTTGGACAATTACAATATAGTATGACTGATGAACCCAATTACAACTCAAAATCAACTTTATTCCTCTATATAGGAATGACACTTGGAAATAGAGTTTAATAACACAAGCAAACAATAAAAACAAAAGACTTAGTAAACTAACTACACATTGCTTGTTGTCTTAAGGTCTAAGTCTTTTTACATGGATAACTCATCCTTAAATAGAATAGAATTCAGTTGCATGGCCCGTTAGGGTTTTGAACATTTTATGTGGATGAAGCAAATCCAAAAAGCGCAATACATTAATCTCCATTAATTTGATTTGTAATATTTGATATAGTAAATCTCCACCAATCTGATTTGTTCTTTTTAAATCTTGAAAATTATTCATTTGAGAAATCTTTCCATATTTCAAAAAGTGCATAAAATAAACAAATAATAAAGGAAATAATCTTCATTTGGTGCGATATTTACTCAGTGTAGTCTGAATTCTTAATAAAGGAGAATGTTCCTCAATGTGTAGAACACATTTTTCCACATCTTTCCTTTTGGTTTATGCTCATAGAGACATGACTTCCAACAAACATACGATAACTAAAATTTAATGGACTTGAACTAACACCAGCAACATCCTCACTACTCAAAATGTTAGGTTTTTGGTTAATAAGAACACCAAATATATAGGATGGAAACATAATGGGTAATTTCACAACAAAGGACTAAGCTTGCTTTAGGATTTGTTCAAACACATACTCACCAAAATCAAAGGCATCCCTAGTTCCTATTTGATAAACCAACCTAGAAAAAGAGGGAGTAATACCTGAACTGTGATTAGTAGAAGCCTAGTTGGAGACTCTCATAATAGAATACACACTCAAAATTGTAGTAGGAAGGAAGCCTTTACTTGGACAATCTTTATAAACCCTACTAATGATTTCTTGAGATATGATCTTCAAGGGAGGAAACTTGGCATCCTTGATCATTTTGCTTCTTCCCAAGTACTCAATTATTATTGTAGGAGAAAATCTGATACAACATCCTCGAACATGCACCTTTATGTAATCTCTAATTCCAGCGTTGTTCAAGTCTTTGGGAATATTAACAATAAACTCATTAACAAGTTTAGGATAGTAGGGGCTAAGGCTTGTCAATGTTTTCATGATTTGAGCATCCTCCAACAAATCTCTTCATATTTTCCTTAGACAATTCCCTCTCGGGCTATCCTCTTGTGATACACATGCTTCCACTTCAGAATACTCTCTTCAAAATGGAAAGAAACATTGTCCAAGGGAGAAATATGGACATTTGTGGGAAACTTCTTTTCACCAAAAAATTTATTATTCTTCTTCAGAGGGGGTTCCTTAATGTTATCCATATTATCTTCCACATCTTCTTCAACATCTCCCACCATAGGAGCAATTTTTCTTTTAGGAGTTGTTTTCTTATTTCCTTCAAACTTATCACTGGTTGCTACAACTTTCTTCTTCTTACCAGACACTTCTTTCATTTTGGTTGTCTTCTTTTACTCGAAATAAGTAGATACCTTCTCAGAATGAGTATTCTTAGGCTTACATGTATCTTTCTTCTTATATGCCTTATATTTTGGTTTTCTTTACAAACCTCGTCTTTTTAGTATTGTTATTAACACGATTAACATAAGCTTCATCTGTATGAACCTCAACATTCTCACAAAAAGGGTCTTAATTTTCATCAACATATCATCAAAGTTTCTTCTCACAATGTTCTCAACATTATGTGCCACAGGATTTTAAGGGGTTACGAACCCATCTTCCTTCTGAGTTGGAGAATTTGTCCCTAACATATCAGACTAATTGTCTGGTACATCATTAACAACATCTTGATTTCTCATATTAGTTAACTAGGTTACATCAGCAGTAGCCTTTTAAAATTCTTCCTCTGTGAGGACATCCATTTCAGTTTTAGTCTCTTTTTCCAGTGGTTCTTTCTCCACTTCTTCAACGACTGTCTTCTCACTAGATTCTTTACTACCATTTTCATTATCAGGATTTATTTCTACAAATTATTCAACATCATTATGATGGATGTCAATATTAATGTTGACATCATTTTCAACAACTTCATCTTGAATTTCCAGAGACTTTTCATCTCTAGAGTCCTCAGTCTCCACATGTTTATCATTAAGAATGTCATTAATAAAGGTTTCTACAACTGGAACACCAATGGAAGAGGTTCCTAACGTTTTTACTAAACATATTTTCAATATGTTATCTTCCATAGGAGGTTTATCACATGCATGAAGAGAATCTAGGTTTTGGGTTAGGTTTTTAGAATGAACATCTTGAGTCTTGTGTTAGTTTTGGAAACGTCAACAACATTCTCCGACATATCTTCAATAACATTTTTAGAGGATTTGGCTTTATAAAACTTACATTGAATTGTGTCTGGAATGATTATTTGAAGCGGAGCAACATCAAGAACCTCTTTTGCTGGTTGATCTGCAGGGTTAGTCTGGTTACTAGGAACATCGTTGAACTTAAAGACTTTACTTTCATCATATTTTCCTTGTCATGTAAGATCCAATATGGTTAATAGAACCCTTGAAGTGTGATCACCAACCTTCTTCAGTTTCTTCTTTCTAACCTCTTTTGATGGTTCCATGGTGGGAGGACCTCCAGTCGGACCATCAGCCTTACCTCCTAGAACTACTCCTTTAATTTTAACACAGTGCATGTTGATCACCAGCTTGTCTTCCATAGTAGGCTTCTTGGATTTATTCATTGTTTTATTTTATTTGCTAGAGGTATTTGCTCCTTTCCTTGTTCCAACCATGATTTCACACTTTCTGAGAGGAAGATGAGAGGATTTGCTTAGGTTTAGGGAAATGAGAGTAGAGAGAAGTTATGAGAATATGAATGCTTATTGGAGAGACTTGAAACGCATAATGTAAGAGTATAAGTTAATTTAAATAACATTCATATTAGGAATACTAATGGTCAAGATAAAATCTAGTGCACGTGCCTTGGACATGATGGTTATGAGAGACAAAAGAATGACACAACAACCACATTCCATTTCAGCATTAATTTCTAGAGATTCTCAACAAAATACAAACCTATGGTCTTTCTTAATTTTTCAAACTGAGTAGACTCTAATGCCTTGGTATATATGTCAGCAAGTTGGTTTTATGTTGATATGTGATATAGGGTAATAACCTTTTCTTTAACAAGCCCTCTAATGAAATGATGATGGATGTCATTATGTTTCTTTGAAATATGTCTTATTTAGTATTATTTATTTTCTTATTTAAGAGTCATTATATTACTTTTAAGAGTTATTATATCACTACTAAAATAAAGGAGTTGACTTTATATTTTCTCTCCTATAAAAGGAGTCATTTTTTCCTTTATAATAAAAGAGACAATTATCACCCATATGCTTTTCTACATGGTATCATGAGCTCTGTTAGGGCTAGGGTGATACTGTAAAGATTTCTCTAATGACCTGTTCTTTTATCCGACCTGACCGATCTAAACTATGGTGGACCCCACCCAACACCATCTCCTCCCGGAGGTCGTGGAGGCGGCAGCGCCAACGTCAATTCTGGCGGCACCAACAATTTTGGCAGAGGAAGTGGATTTACCATTTCAGAAATGATCAGTTTCATGACAAACAATAATTTTAACTGTTGATTCGGTTATGGCAGAGGTGATCCCAACAACAACCTTTTTTGGATCCGGTTATTGTTACCCATTTGACGGTGGTTACAGTAACCTAGGAGGTAGAGGTCAAAATAACTCTCTTCAGGTTAATGTTTAGAAACTGGATGACTCAAACTACGCTGAATGGTCCCAAACTGTTCGACTTATTCTAGAAGGCAAAGGGAAGTTGGGTTTTCTTACAGGTGATGTTCCGGTGCCTGCAACAACACATCCTAATTACATGTTTTAGAAATCTGAAAACTCTTCTATTATTGCTTGGATTATTAATACTATGGAGGTAGGTATGAGAAAAACATACATGTATCTGCCTACAACAAAAGATGTTTGGGATGTTGTAAAACTGTCTTACTCTGATACTAAAAGTTTCTCTCAAATTTATGATCTAAAATAAAAGTTATGGAATTTAAAGAATAATGACATGAGTGTCACTACTTACTATAATGAATTTATGGCCCTTTGGTAATAGTTGGATTAGTTCTATGATTATAACTGGAGGTATACTGAAGACACTGTTCAGTTTATTAAGACGCATGAGAACGACTGTGTATTTATTTTTCTTGTTGGTCTCAACAAGGAACTCAATGAAATAAGAGGTATAATTCTCCGAAATAATCTTCTACCAACTATCCGAGAAACTTTTTCAGAAATCAGAAGGGAGGAGGCTAGACAAAGAGTAATGGTGGAAAAGTCAAACTCAGCAACTGATGGTTCTGCCCTTGTCATAAGCAACTTCAATAAAGACAACAAGAAATATGGTAAGAAAAATGGTAAAATCTTGTGTGATCACTGCGAACGTTATTATCACACACGTGAGACTTGTTGGAAAATTCATGGAAAGCCTCCTAATTGGAAAAAGAAGGGTGAGGGTTGTGCACTTCAAGCAGCTTCTAATCAAGAGCCACGAGCTTTCCCAAATGCATTTCCATTCACTAAGGAACAACAGACCAAATATACAAACTCCCCGAGTCTCAAACATCTTCGTGCTCCATAGCCCATAAAGGTAAATTACCAAAATCATCCCATCTTAGTATCATTCCTAATTGTACATGGATCATTGATTCTAGAGCCACTGATCATATGACCAGTGAATCCAATTTATTTTCTTCATATAAACCATGTGTAGGAAATTCCAAAATTAAAATAGCCGATGGCTCTCTTTCAGTCGTGGAAGGAAAAGGTTCTATTGTTTTGTCTCCCTTAAAAACCATCCAAGATGTGTTACATGTCCCAAATTTGTCTTGCAACTTATTATCTATCAGTAAGCTAACCACAAATAAAAACTGTCAAGCTCATTTCTTTGATACTCATTGTGTATTTCAGGATTTGATCTCGGGGAGGGTGATTGGCACTACTGAGGAAAGTGGTGGACTCTACTACTTAGAAGATGAACCAAAAACCAAACATCAATTTGGACCAATAATCTTTTCTTCTGTTAAATCCTTTTTTGTTTCAAATAATAAGGATGACATTATGTTGTGGCATTTAAGGTTAGGCCACCCTAGTTTTAAATATTTAAGTTCATTCCTAAACTTTTTGTTGAACAAGACATTTCTTCACTTCAATGTGAGGTTTGTGAGTTTGCTAAACATCATCGAAGTTCTTTTCCAATTCAATCTTATAAACCTTTAAAACCTTTTTCAATGATTCATAGTGAAGTTTGGGGGCCTAATCGAACAAGTACTTTATCTAATAAAAAATGGTTAATTACTTCCACAGATGATCAAACTAGACTTTTTTGGGTATACTTGTTGAAAGAAAAATCTAAGGTAGGCCAAATAATTCAAAACTTTTGTAAATTGGTGCAGACACAGTTTAACACCCAAATATAAGCGTTTAGAACTGACAATGGTACTGGATTTTTACATAAAATTGTTGGACATTTTTTTCTTGAAAATGGAATTGTGCAAAAAAGTTCATGTGTTAACTCACCCCAACAAAATGGAATTTCATAGAGGAAAAATCGGCACCTTCTTGAAATTGCATGAGCACTACTCTTCTTTACCAATGTCCCTAAATATTTATAAGGAGAAGCTGTCTTGACAGCTGCACATTTAATAAACCGTATGCCAGCTGTTGTACCCCAAAACTTTCCATCTCTTTTCTCAAGTCATTTTTCACAAGATCTTCAATAGCTTAAGCTTGTACAAGTGTGGACTAGGTCCAGCCATCTTTGAAACACTGAGACCACAAATTAGGGTTTTGACTGAGAATGACTGATTCTTGACTTTTGACTTAATACATAACTTATTGGTTTGAAACATGATATCAAGGATTAAAGAACATCATTTAACCTAAATTTATGGCTCAAAACATTTCTCATGATCATTGGATTGATAGATGAAATTTGGTCAACTGATACACCAAAAGTCAAACTTTGACTTTTTGGTCAACATTAAGTTTCAAAGATCAAAATTCATCAATACATTCAAGAATATCAAGCTTGATCATCAAGAAATCAAGAAAGTCAAAAGTCAATTTGAAAATTCAAACTTTTCAAGACTTAGAATTTTTTTCTAAGTGTTTTCGTACATGATAATTTCATGACTTCATGCCAATCTTTCACCAAGATGCAAGATGATTCAAAGAAAACTTTCAATATGAAAGTTGTAGATCTTGATGAGATCTATAACTTTGCATTTCTGATCCAGTCCTAGAAGTTCTTGGATTTTGAGTTATAAATTCCTGACGTTGTGACATTTTCATCTAACACTCAAATTTTCAACAGATTTTGATCAGGATTTTATCCCAACTTCTTGGCATTTTTTCATAAAGTTCCAAGATAATTTTGTCAAAATGGCCAAATTGAAAGTTATAGAGTATGTTTTAAGCTTTCCAAAACATCCAAGAGCATGAATTTATTATACTTGAGCTAGGAGATTCAAGGGCCTGAAGTTGGACATCCATTCTTGAATTGTAAGTCATTTTGTTGAAGAACATATAACAAAATCCTTATGCCATGCTGCATAATCTTGCTTTGCAGGCCTTTTGACTTGTAAATCTATCCATAATCAGATGTTTACACAATTTATTGAACCATTATCCAAGTGATTCAAGTATTGTCCATTGCATCATTCCATTAATGGCACAAAGGCACCATTGCCATTCACATAAAGTATGCTTTATACAAAGTCGGCTCTCCTTGAGCCTCTAAACTGTTTTTTCTGCACACACAATGTCAAAACAAGAAGCAACATGCCTAAAAAGCTCCTAGCCACTTTAGATCCCTTTTGTACCATGCACTGGGACATCAAATTTCACATAACTTGGTTGTTTCATCTCAACCAAACTAGAATTTTGACAGCTTGTGAAACAAACTCTCCCATCCTCTCAACCCTTCACTATAAATAGAGAGGCCATTTTCAAGCTAAAGGGTCATAACTTTTTGTTGTGTAGACAAGCCCTCAAAATCTCATACTCTAAAAAATCCATAACTGTCCACAAAACCTCCACTCTTGAGCTTTGAAGTCAAAGTCTTTGAACCTCTTACACCTTGCAAGTTATGTCCAAACAAACCGTCCAAACACTCCACATACATCATATAGAAGTTGTTCAAACTCAAGAACAACTTCTGTAATATCACTATTTTCCAAACTCAAAAACAACCACCTCCAACTTGAATTTTCGAAGACAATATAACAACTCAAACTCAAAGCACAAATTTCAGTTTCAATGTAAGTTTTCTTAACTTTGGACTCTTCATACAAGCATCATTAGTGGTCCATTTTTGAATATAAAATGTAAATATTATTTCCCTTGAAGTTAACCATATGCTTGCTTTTCATTTTCTCTGACCATGTGTTGAGAATTGACTCATATATGCAACAAAACAATGTTAGAGGCAAAAAACAACAGTATGAGTTGATACAAAACACTATGAGTTGACACATATTATGTCCAAAAGAAGTTATAAGCCGATGCAAACCATTATGCATCTATATGAACTGCTGTATAAGTCGATACGAAATGCAAATGCGTCAACTCATACTGAGTTAATTTTCATTTTCCAGGAGCAAGAAATGATATGTGTCGATGCAT